TCTGACCCTTGCAGCAACAGAAGACTGTCCCGATAGGTCCCTCTGGTGGCTTTCCATGCGTGCAGGAGTGGGCAGCTGGCTGGGCTGAACAACAGCTCAGCCTGCCCGGGCTGCTGGCACAGGCCGCCTTCTGGCACAGTTGGCTTTATTTGTATTGTGGGCTTGGTTAAAACAAGCTGGGCAAAATCCACAGCTGTGGGGTCCAGGCTCTCTCTGCTGCCACCGCCTCTCAAGCATCTGCTGCTCTGACCTACTCAGATGTCATGTTCTTATCATTTGTATAGGGCAGGTCAGTTGCCAAGTAAATGGAGAATAGGGCTGTTTAACTTTGGCTCTCGTGGGCATTGCTTCCCTTCAAGCAGCTGGGGAGGTAGAAGTCCTGCATATCCTATGATTAAAACCAGCTCCCAGCCCACATGTAGATGAGGCTAATTAGAATCCCAAACCCTGATCTTCCAAACTACACACAGTTTATCTTGTGCTAGTGCTGAGTTAAAGAACAGGTCTGAACTGTGTTGCTACTTGCCTGTTGTTGAAAAGAGCTGTGAGTGGTGCATGCGTTTTGTACAAAGCTTACGCTTTTGTTTTGTTTGTAGGTAACAGTTATTGTCCTGGGAAACAAAACTGACCTCGTGGACCAAAGGCAAGTGGAAACAGAAGCAGCACAGCAATGGGCAAGGGCTGAGAAAGTGAGACTGTGGGAAGTGACTGTAACAGATCGGAAAACACTGCTTGAGCCCTTCACCTTCTTAGCTAGCAAACTCTCTCAGTCCCAGAACAAATCAACATTTCCCTTGCCTGGAAGGAAGAGCAAAGGGAATAACTGTGATAACTAAGCTACCTAAGCTGCCAGGTCACTGTCTAAGTCCTTTCTGTGCCATGCTTCTCACAGTTTCACTTAAAGCAATAATCTCATTCAGGAATAAAATCTGCAAGTTTATCGCTAAGAGGTATCTTTTCTTCTCATGGCCTTGGCTTGGGAAAGTCACTGGTGATAAAAGCCCTAAAAAGCATTTCATGAGAAGAGTTATCTTGCAACAGGGGTTATGGAGGAGGGGAGGGTGGGTGGAAACCTCTCTAGTTGGAGCTTTGACTGTGCCTGGATACAGCTATGTTGAGGGACAAATCAACAAGCTTATTAAGCAATCCCCGTGCAGAGCTATAGCAGAGCTATAGCCTCTAGTTACAAATAGTACTGGCTGCAATAAAGCATTCAGCTTTAAAAAGAGGATATGTTTTTAATGGCAACAGTCCTTTTACCTTTGACTTTAAACAGGGCCACAGGGCTTTTTGATGCTGCAGGAGGCTGAGTTCAGTGTGTTGCTGCAGAAGGTTTTGGGGCAGGAGGAACAACTACCAGCAGATTGAGCTGCTGAGGTTCTGCTACTGTCTGAAAGATAAAAACAAAGAAAAAAAAACCCAAATCTTGTGAGAGAGACTAGAACAGATCTACCCTGACAGGAAACTTGTCAGCAAAGTCTGGCAAGTAGTGCTTTCAGCTCAGGAATTTATTTGTACAAACCAGAGAAGCTCTCAGAGCACTCATTAGCTTAACTGCGACCTGAAGGACGACATAGCTGTACATGGTTTTGTTCCAGCATGTCCAGTACAAATCAGTCACATTCACATTAGTGATAATTTTGCTGAGAAACTAAATGGAGCAATTTTGTATGCAGGAGGTGCTGCCTGGGCTCTGCTTAGTGCATTGCATAATACTCCTACCTAGCCATTCAACCCGGCTGCAGTAACCCACGCTCGGTATGAAGCTACAGGCTGGATAACAAGTGGTAATACTTTGTGAGAGTGTAGGATGTTGCCTTTTGGGTACATCCCCATGGCAAATGCCCAGAAATACCCATACACATGGCCTTGGTCCAGCAGCAGGATCACAACTGCACGTGCTGTGTTTGAGTCTCCATGCTGGTAAACCTGTGCTGTAGGAACCTGCTGTTCTAGGTCAGCCTGTCAGTGAACTAAACAGAATTGGATAGAGGGACAGAATGAGCAACTGTTCACAGACCAGACAGCTTTCAGCCTCTAACAACCTCTTATACTAACTGATACTAGCTTTTCTTTATATCTGAATACCAGAGTGGAAGGAGGGAGTGAACTGAAGTACTCATTTCCCTCATTGTAATGAAAATACTTTTAAGTTGTTATGATCTGGGACTTGAGTTGCATGTTATGGGAACTACTGTAGCAGAAACCCCTTGTTGATAGCCAGGCTAGGAGCAAGGAGTTCATTGCAATGTTATATTCTATAACCTGGCCCAAAGGGATCAGGGGTGGAGACTGTAATGGAAATCCATTTTCCACTAAATTAATATTGTTTTGAATAAATACTGAGAATTTCACTGTAAGCCAGCAAAACCATGAGTAATATTTGCACTGTGATAACATAACTGCTAAATAGAGGTGTGCTTAATAATCACAATTAAACTGTGTGCTTCTAGCATTGCTCTTTCTGAATACTGACACATGAAGTCCACCAGCATTAATGATGTCAGAGCAGCATTACGATTTACTAAAAATTAAGCAGGATGCCTAGCTTTATAATGAAGGTAAACAAAACTGTTTATGTGCTTTGCTCAATACAGTTTGGATTGCTGCGGCCAAGGAATGAGATAAGAAAGCAATTATGAATGAGCAAGCTCCTGTAATGCCCTGCTAGAAACATACAATTGTTTCCATTGCAACACTGCAGCTGAGTAAGCACTATAACACGACCTCCCTCAACTTGGCTAGTAGTAGTCATTGTCCTCAGTGATGCTGCAGAACAACACTCCCTCCTCACTCATTTCCTACCAAGCACACGTGTTCTTGAGGCTTCTCCCTACGCAGAAGACTCTGCATCTGCCTGTGTGCTAGGTAAGTGGGGTGACTTCAGAGCAGCAGTGGTTCATCTCCTTGCTGCAACCTCTCACCAAGGAATTGGTTATGCTCTTCCTCTCAGCTCTGTAGAACCCCTCTTCTAGAAGGGACTCAATTCAGCTTTGATCAACCAAAATAAGCGAAGACCTCTGCTAACTGCACATTGCCACTGAAGCTGACTCTTGAGCCAGTGGAGTGCAGGTTGACAAGAACTGACTTAAAATGTGCGGAGATAGAAATAACAGAGGTGACTGGTTCCTGTCCAGTTCTGCATCCTGCAGACTTGGTGCCCATTCAATTGTCAAGGCTGATGTCACCTGTAGGCTGCCAGAGCTGTATTGTACAAGATCAGCTGGGTCACTCCCTCCCCTGGACACTCAGGACTTGACAATGTCTTAGGAAAGGCAAGAGGAAAAGGGATCGTCTGAATGGCAAAGGCCATTTTTCCAAAGAGGTTACAAAGAAGTAAATATGTTATCTTTGATTTGTTTAAATTCATTAGAAACAAGTTTAAATCATTTTGGGCATTCACATAAACAACCACCACCCACTGTTTTCTTTCATAGGCTTATTCTGCTGCTTTTTAAGTACTCAAATCAATTTCCTTTCTAAATACCATAGTATTTTATTGACAAGTGGTGGAAAATGTAGCATCTCCTCTGCAATCCACACACAGTGGCTGGTACCAAGTAAAAATTAAACTCACTGTAGTACAGTTTTACACAGGGTTAATAAGTAAAGTACAGAATATAATGTAGTAGCTATAGGGCAGAATATGTATCTTGTTTTTACTATGCCACTGACTCAAAACCTGTCCAAGGTCACTGGGATCACTTCCCTACTACAAAGCTAGACAGTCCCTTCACAGGATAATGGAGAAAAATTACTATAAAAAAGAAAAATCAGTGAATCATTTTTCTCTGTTGCTTTTAAACTTCTGTCCTGCTGAATAAACTGTGCTGATCAGTCACCCCAGATCAGCTCCCTCCCCATGGCCAGCTACAACAGCTGATTTAGCATGTCCTGGTAGCACGAAGCAAGGAGTTGACAAAAACCTACTGAGATGAAGCCATTTGCCTCTTCATTCAGTGAAGGAGAGGAGGAAACTGTTGCCAGAGATGCTCCCGGTGTGATGTAATAATGTACCAATAATTTTGCTAGGCTGAGCCAAGCAGCTGAGGGATTTCATACACCAAAACACACCTTGTGTCAAAGGACCACAGTTGAACAGAGGTTTACATACTACTGCCCACAACCACCCAGCAAAGAAAGGGTATCACCTCTAATTAACAGATTACTTTGGACAGAGTTAGATTTGAATGTATATAGATAAGAAGGAAAATATATAAAATATATACAGAATTTACTGTAAAATACCAAAACAAATATGAAATTGCAGGTGACCACATAGCACTCAGAAGAACGTCACAATGTGAAGTACTAGCCATGTGAAAAGGCATCCGTACTTCCAGCCTTTACTTTAAATGACCGGTCAAAAATGCTATATCCAGAACTGCACTGTTGCTACACACCGTAGCGTAAACACCATGTCTCCAGGAGATAATCTTTGTTAAGTAGTTAAAGGATCTACAGATTAAGTCTCCTTTACTCTCCTTTAAGGTGTCTTCTGCCAGCTTAAAATACGTGATTCCTTCTCTTCCAAGTGGGAACAGACCACTCCATCAGAAAAACAGAATGGTTTGGGTTGGAAGGGACCTTAAAGATCATCTAGTTCCAACCTCTGTGCCACAGGCAGAGACACCTTCCACTAGACTAGGTAAAAACATGAAGATACTCTCTTCTTCTGCACCGTAGCCCTAATCTGAACAGCATCTTGGAATTGAGGGTGAGGTCCCCAGTACCTTGGAGTTGTAGTCTTTGTGGTTCTCTGAACCCTAAACCTAATCTGAATGGCATTTTGGCATGCCTAATCCTAATCTGAAGGTCATGGCAGCTCCAGGGACACTGGGGCTGCAAAAGGCATGCTGAGGGGAGCACAGCACTGCACCTGAATTGCTCCGTTAACACATTTAACAGGCTATAATTTCATATTGTAATCCTCAAGCATACCGGGAGATGCTGTTCTGGAAAAATGACAAAGCAAGGCACTAAGCAGAAATCTTGTCCTCTTCTTTTTTTTTAAACATCTTTTTATTAGCACAGTAACAAATGCAGACTTAAGTAGCCCACAACATACAACCAATCCACTGAGTGACTCCTATTCCACGCCTTACAATTAAACAGCTTAAGGTATTTCACTACAGGTTACCGTAAATCCTGATTAAGACCTTTATTCTTTTCACAAAGATAGATTGGCTTATAAAATAATACACTAACTACTTCTCATTTCATATATGAGGCCATACATCCACCTCTCCATAATCACAGATCATGAGATGACAGTCTTTAATAAGGATTGTTAAATACCAATGTGCCCTCCATAGGGGAAAACAATCCCAACATCTTTTTACAAAGAAAAAAAAGAAGGGAAAAAAAACCCAACCCCAACCCCAACCCAGAACATAATAACCTCCCCAAACCTAAACAAAAAAAAAGGCAAAAACAGTGTGTAGAGTCTTGAAAGGACTTTTACATAAATGTCAACATATGTACCTGTACAAAATTAAGCTGTTTTAATCTTTTACATATTGCAAGCAAACTGAAAACCAAAGAAGTCTAAGAAGTTTACATTCTCCTCGGTACTATATGTGAGCTAATATTGCTGAACTAATTACAGTCTTAAAATATGCTATTCCCAATCCTAGCTGTCTACTGTAGCAAGATACCTTAAGTTACAACAACAAAATCTTAGGAAATAAAAGACTGAATAAAATCTGTTATAGAAATACCCTACTCTTTACCAGCACCCTCCCTCCCCCCACCCCTTCAAAATCATAAGCAGCTCTTTCCATCACAGACAAATAATGTAAGAGTTTCACAAAAATCTTATTTATGTAGCATATCTTTTGGTCCATTGTCTGGCCATTCTGTCATGCTCTGCTCTGTTAGTCATATACTGAGTGGCAATACTTCCAACCAGGGGGTCAGCTGAAAAAGAAAACAAACCACTTATTTCAGACAAACTACCAAATAAAAACATGAAAATAAAGCTGAAACATGGATTTAATACAGGGGAATCACATAGATACATTGCAGCACTTATATATACTGAATTGATGGTCTGCATCTTCACTGGTTTCTGTGTATTTATGGTGATGTACTAATCTATTACTTAATAAAGAGCAAAATGCCAATTAAAGTTTCAATAACCATATTCTGCATTACTGAGGGCTTTCACTGATTCATGTGTTTCAGGTTTATTTTACCCCTTCTGAAAGTTCCTGGAACATACTCATTGGTGACCGTACTTGTATCAATATAAATCTGCCTTCTAGAAAAGATCAGATCTCAAGAAGAGGTTTTATTTTTCCTGCAAGTTTATTTTCATCATACACAATATAGTGTGAAATCTGGTGTTCCTCTCATCTTTAGAAGACACATATGATCATAGAATGGTTTGGGTTGGAAAGGACCTCAAGATCATCTAGTTCCAACCCCCCTGCCATAGGCAGGGACACCTCACACTAGAACATGTTGCCCAAGGCTCTGTTGACTTTGGAAACCAAGGCATATTCCTCGTCACTGGTGTGGATAAGGGCTGGGTTAGAGAAGCAGCAAGGACTACCTGTGGCATAGTTGACCACTGGTTTTAAATGGATAATGGAAAACAAAAGACTAATCCCCTTGTTTTCAGAGCTGAGTTTGTAGCTCTTCTAGCTCCATCACTGAATTACTACAGTCCTGCAGACCAATGAAGAGTGCCCAACCCTCACCCAAAACTAGCAGGCGCGTAGGGGTGTATCACCTCCTCCACCTCCAGCCCTCTCTGGCTGCCCAGCAGAAGGAAAGGTGCTGCACTGGAGGCCAGATCCACAGGGTGAGATGAATAAAGGCCATGTTATCCAGGGGCCTGGCAGGGTGCAAGGCATCAGGAGTCCTGCATGGCTGTGCAGGAGACTTACCTGGGTTGCAGTCTGTGAGGAGGGAGCAGATGGAGAGGAGGACTTTAGAAATGGTTAACGCCGGACTCCAGTTGTCTTTTAAAATGTCCAGGCAGATGACGCCTTGGCTGTTAATGTTACAGTGGTAGATTCTTGTCCGAAACGTTACCTGCGAGAAACAGGCATTAGATGGTGTGTCCGGTCACCGCACAACGAGCTCAGCTGACAGGCTAACACCGAAGGGACGGAGGCCACGCGAGCTACCGAGCTCTAGGGCCACTGACCGCGGCCAGGCTGCAGGACGGCACTGGGGCACGGCCGGACCGGGCCGCTGCCGCCATCTGGCGGCCGCTGGCGGGAGCACACCGCCCCCGCCGGGCCGGGACCGGCCGAGCGCGGCCAAGTCGCGCCGGGCCTGGCCGAGCCGCCCCTCCCTGATACCCCGGCCTCGGGCGACCGCAGCCGCGCTGCATTGGAAAGGCATTTCCCACCTGTTGCTTCAGCGTTAAACAGAACACACAGCCCGAGTACATCTTGGAAACCACAGGCTAATCGCGAAGAGCCTGACTGCAGGCATTGGAACAGGCTACCCAGAGCAGTGTTGGAGTCACCATCCCTGGAGGTGTTGACAATCCATGGAGATGAAGCCCTTAGTGACATGGTTTAGTGGTGGACGTGGCAGTGCTGGGTTAAACGTTGGTCTTTTCCAACCTCGTTGATTTTATGCTTTAAAGTAAATAAACAACCACAAGTCACAGGAGCGCGTGGCTGGCAGCACTGCTCCAGCCCCTCCAGGTACACCTGAGCAGTGCTAGACACGCTGGGACAGGTGATGGATGGCCCAGGTTTCCCATCTGAAGGAAGGGGAACCAAGATATAGATCATGGGCCCTGATGTGAATCACTGCAGCCTCAGCACAGGCTCACGACTGACAATGCATTCACCATCTCCCTGCTGAACCACCAACTTCCCAACTGCGGGTGCTTATGATCACTGTGAAACCCAGGTTGTGCGGGTTTTATTTATTTGGGGGTTTTACTATTATTTAATCACCTTTTGTCTCTCTGTTCACAGCAGCCAAGGGGCCTGGGGCTTTAACAGCAGCATTTTTCTCCCACTGGGCTCCCAAGGACACATACAGTCCCCCAGACAGGCTGGGACACTTGGAATCACAGCTCCCATCTCTTCTAAGAGCTCAGCAATAGGGGGAGTTGCTTGGATGCTATTATTTTCAAATCTGGGAGATGTGAGTGAGCCAGGCAGCTTGCCACAGAACTTATCTGAATGGGAAACAAAAGCACCACGAGCTGCTTCTGGGAGAAAATGGGACCTGCAAGAAAGCCTTACTGACTCACTGGATGAATCTGGCGGAACTTGTATGGATTAGGATCATCTGTGTCAATAAAGGCTGGTGGGTTCATGCCCTAAATCCTCAGAATTTGTCAGCTACCCACACCCACAGGTTTTATCGTACGTTTATAGGCCAAAGGGGTATTTGTGAAACACACTGGTAAGAAAAGAACACACTAGCGCTCTCTCTCAAGAAGAGACCAGCCCCCACGTGAAACTTCCCGGCCAACCCTCGTTTTTAGCACCCTGATGCAAAAAGGTTGCCCGTGACCTTCTCTGCTCACAGGCACAGAGAGGTGGCACAGCTACAAAACGCCAGTGCCTGGTGTGTCCCTGCCCCTGTGCACTGCGTCCACGCCGTGTTTCGGAGAACACTCCCAATGCACAGAGCACACAGTCTATTTTCAGACTCGCAGAAGCTTGTCACACAGGAGACACCCACGCTGCACGCTTGTGGACACTTTCTGCTTTGTTCCTTGTAAAATGGTTGGATTTTAAGATTAAAACAGGGAGCAAATGAACAAAAATAAAACCAAATCCCTACATTCCTGCACATCATGGGTGGGAATAGCAAAATGACTGCGAGAATGGAGATGTGTCCCCTTCCTTCTGCAACAAGCTGCAACTCTGAAACTAAGAACCCCTGATGCCTCCTACCTAGGGAAACTTGGTGGTAAAGCAGGCGAGAAGCCAAAGTGACCTTTGGTTCACAGATCATCTAACCCTCAGAGGAATAGCAGCAATCATTCCTACAGTATGTGGAACTCCACATACATCAGACTGAGTGGAGGGCAGATCCAACCCTGCCATACCTGTCCCAACCCAAACTGTTTAGGGCAAAACTGAAGTTAGTGGCATTAGCAGTTGCTGGCAGTGTTTGTGTCCCAGGTGCTGAGCAGCCTTCAGCCCAGCCCCACTGCTTGCTCAGTATTTCTGTATTTGACCTGCAGCTTTGGTCTCTTTCCAAGAAGGCTTCTAAATGTAGGTGAGATAGTGATTCTAACAGATTAAGCACTTCCAGAGGGGGAAGCATGGAGCATTTCCAATTTGATACAATAAGGACCAAATTAACAGAGAGGTCAAGAGTTCTAATTTGTGAAGACAGAAAGTTGTTAATCCTGATTCTGAGCACAAAAGCTAAATACTCTGTTGGCAGTCTCCCAGTCCAGTTGGCTAATAACTGATAACAAAGCATGAGTGCTGCTTTCCTTTAAGAATAAGGCTGGTTCCTTAATAAGCCTTAAGATATAAGGGTTATATCCACGGCACCAAAACCAGTTTTCTCCAGTTAGAGGAGCACTACCTAACCAAAGCACTGTCAGACAACACCTACATTTGCTTTCAGCAAGTCACAACTGGGATGGTGTTAGATGCATGTAGTCCAGCTGTTTGCCATTTACAGTTTTTGCTGATGGTACAAAAGCCAGGGGAAGTATCACATAAGCCTAGTAGATTCAGACCAAACCCAAGAGAAACTGAGCTCCTTAGAAAGCAGTACAATGTATTTGGGGTAAAGAGAACAGCAAGTGGAATAGCAGAAAAATAGACTATAACTGAACAGTCCTTTGGAAATGTCACACCTGAGCTTACATTTAATGCAGTAACTACATAGAGTTAAGCACAGCTTTTGAAAAGGCACAAAAGATTCTAATCTTAACATTACCCTGAAGTGATAGCAGAGGTTAATTTACACAAGCAGCAGAATGGGAGTGGGGGGAAAGAAGTGGTTAGAGGTTATTAATACAAATGATCAAAGCACACACCAGGTCAACAAAAGCTACTGTTTTCACCTCAATAAATGAAATCTAACCCAAGTATAATGTAACTCTTGGGAAAAGGTCCATTATAATAGTACAAAAGAATAGTAATCATCTTGAGGACTAACTCTGAAATTCCAATTATACTTGTTTATTGGATTCTCCTGAATCCATGCCCACCCAGCATGTGCCCGATTCAATTGCTATCTGAAACAAAGGCAAAACCAGAATACCACACAAAATGAGAAAACATAAAAGCAGAGAACAGAGAGCACTAACATCTTCAAAGATGGATGGAAGGCTCAATAAATGCAAAATAACTCCATTATACACATTTAGGACAGGAGAGAGACTATCTGTCCTGTATCAGATTTCTCCCACTGAAGTTCTTGTACCATGCAGAGCATTTCCAAGTCTAATTTTAAGACCTTTAAATCCTCCAGCCTCAAGTACAGCAGTGCAGCTCCTCTTTATATCCTTCCAGGAATCTGTTAATATCACTTCTAGCACAATCCTCTGGCTCTCCTATGGCAACCAACTCCCCTCAAAAGTTTGCTCCAACATACTAAAATCAAACCTTCAGCTGAAGCTACACCCAGTCCTCAAAGGCCGCACCTGTATATCCTTCATCACACATCTCTAGGATCCTCATTGACCACATGGCACTTGTCCTAAGAATTACTGAGGACTCAAAGAGGCAGCACACGTTTTCTTCCACTGGTCTTGCAAGACTTTGCAAGGAAGATTGCTTAGGAAACTAGTCTCTAGAGAGCTTCATCTTTTCAGAGGTGAAGGCTTTTGAAATGAGCTTCAATGAGGTACCTGCTCTACCAGTGCTTATCACCAAAACAATACACTGGCTTTGTTTCAAGCAGCTATTTCTTTCCTTCTAGCCACAAAAGACAGCTCTAGGAAGGCTATGGTAATTACATTAGTCCTACCACTTCCCACAAGCAGTATTTATCGGTCACTGCAAGCAGTTGGTCAATGTGAAATCAACAAATTAGTGGCAATAAAGCAGAAGCAATATGATAATTATATTTTTCACATTATCATTGATTAACACTTGTGCAAGCATTAACACAGGTGCTGCTGTAAGAGTCTGAAAAATAAACAGGTTCTTCACTTAAACCTAAAGTGCCATTCTATTAGTGAACCTCCACTAAACTAGTCTTTTAAGGCCTCAATAAGTGATGACTGATTCTTTTTTAATCTCACCCTTTTTTTGTCTGGGTGAGGGCTTAGATTCAAAGATAAAGGCAAAGAGATTCTTGTCAGAAGTGCACAGCAGAAAGCAGGGCTGAGCTGCAACGACAAATCCGTATCTTTGGTTCTGCATCAGGGAACTTGGCATATAGGGCTGTCTCAAAACCAGTGGTAGTTATAACATGGTCTTGTAAGGCATCGGGCTGGATAAGGCCAAAACAATAAATACTTCTAACCTGTAGCATAGAAAGCAAAGCTGTAGCAAAGCACACATGGCAAGGTAAAAGCTCCCTCTTTAAATGCTTACTGGCCTCATAAGGCATTGCATAGCATTGGTTGGACAATAAATTATCCATGCAAACTAATTCAAACAAAATAATGAAAAACTGTTCTGAACTGAGTTAAACTCTTAACACAAGGCACAAGAGAACCATCTATGCTGCCAGAAAACTTTTGAAGAGGAATGGACAGGCATCAGCAGGAAATCACTAAAGATGTCCCAGGGTAGACCATGCTGCTTGGGAACTGGTGCCCCAGCTTAGGGATAGAATTTAAGGTCCTGTTGATACTACCAGAAACCCTGAAGTTATGCTAGCAAGAACAGTCAGTTTCCTTAATTTAGGAATTTAGCTTGTATTAATTTTTCTGGTATGATCAATTAGCACTGTCTGCTGAGATGGCCTCAACTATGGCAAGTCGTTCTACAGCAGACTAGACCAGTCCGAAGAAGGGGTGGTCACTGGTGTTTAGCTCGTCAATGCAACAACTTTTAAGTAGAAAGTTAAACATACACATAAATGCTTTCAATACAAGGCAAACATGAAATGTATACACAGCCATCTCTTCTTGTAACCCAACACTCTTCCTCTGGCCAAGAACGTGAACCACAGGATAACATTCACTTGCACTGGTATTTGCCTTGCAGCACTGGAACATAACACTGGAATGTAAGAGCTTCACAAATACAACACACCTACAGAAAAAGTCGGTACTGTACAAGTAGGTGAACAGCACAAGTACCCAACAAAAACTGAAAAATTAAATACTACTTCAGTGGCCAAAACATATATAACGGTTATGCTTATGGTAACAGAGTGGTTTGAGAAACAAGTATTGATATCCTTTCTCCTCTCCCCAAGTTTATTTGCTTTTCAGTTTCTCAGTCCTGTACCAATGCTTGCACTAATTGTGTAGGGGGCTTATAAACAGAAGCAGGGAAAAAGAAAGCAAGCTCTAAAACAGTGATCAAGAGGATGTAAAAGTAGTTAACATTAGCTAACAGAAAACAATGTACGTCTGAAGTAAGCTTAAGCTTGTTCTTAGAGTGGCTTTCAAATGGGCTGCATTCCATTAACACCATTTGCTAGTCAGTGGTCTGTTGAATGTTCATGGCTTATAAGGTCAGCTATAGGTCTCTTACCTTTGGAGGCTTGAACGGATATTCTGGTGTAAATGTGATGTCAAGGAAGAAAACACCTCCCTCATAGACTGAACCTGGAGGTCCTAGAATGGTTGATCTCCATTCGTAGATGTTATCACCTTTGGGGCCAGCACTAAGAGAAAAAAAAACAAACAGTTTAGGGATAGTACCACAGTTCAAATACATACAACCTCTTACATTCTTCAAATATGATATGGAAGAAAGTTTCTGATGTTTAATTTCATACAGCACCTGAAGTAAAGACAGGCATTAGAAGTAGATTAAATGCTTCCAAAAATCTCAGAAATCTTACCTAGGCTTATTAGTGCTCCAGACTGCTTAGCAAAGCTGAGAAACTAGAGGTGGGGTATGGTTTGCAGCCTCTCTCTCCTGACATTCATAAGAGCAGCCTTGCCCAGAAGTACTCTTAAACATGCTACACAATCTCAACAGGAAAGTTTTAAAGAACAATTTCCTACTGTATTTCAGAAATTACTTTTATAAAACTGTACCCCAGAGACCATATTAAATAAATTAAGGACTTATGTTGATTTTTTTTAATATTGTGTGTTCTTTAAAATGGCTAAACCAAGACTCATGGTATAATTGAAGGAAGCCAAATACAGGATGATACTCTTAGATGTCAAAATTCTCTACACTTTCATCATTTTGCTACACTGATTTCTAAAATGAGGTCACATGAACTCATCCCACTGATACTGTTTGCATTGTGGAACTGTTTTTGTAAGGGGAATTAAGATCACAATGTCGAATTAAAACAGTGCTTTCTCAAATCAGCTTTGTGTAACTCCAGCTTCTCCCTAACCTGCCAGCAGCTCACCAAAAGCAGTACAAATTAAAGGTGTTGCAGAAAAAAAAATGCCTGCTTGTTGGAAATTAGTTTTACTGAGATCCTCAGACAGTTACATTCTGTAGTGCACCATATGTCACAGAGCATTTCTAAGTACAGCTCAACCTACAAAGCCATTAATGGTTTAGGACTCCATTGCTACCTCTTCCTTTCTCTGCTGCTATGGTAGTATTTTATCTCTAAGATGCCAGAGCTGAAAAAAACTCCCTTTGCACAGAGGGAGGTGCTGACACAGCTTTTTCCATCATGGATGTGCTATGACTTCAGAAATCTCTCCTTGCTCTGTAAGGGGCTGGATTTTAACATCCCTAATACAATGAAAACCAGCCTTGCTCTTCTTTCTCTATTCTTCTAACAAGGTTAACGTAAGACAGAAGGATTAAAAAGAAAAGGCTCTTTTCATATTACAACAATCATGGAGCAGTATTACTTGAGAAGAAAGGCAATCCAATACATTCAATATATGCAACAACAATATGCATTTGATTACTGTAAAGGGAACCAGAGTAATAGCTAGGTGTTAGTAACAGTATTACAAATAGAAATACAATTAAAGAACCATAAATTCACAATGTAGCAACAGTGATCAGAGTAATGCTCCCCCCTCCCGCTCTTTGCAGCGCTGGAAAGCGTGTTCTCGGAGCAGGGGAAAATCGGGGGAGAAAGGCAGCTAATTCTGTTATCAAACTTAAGAATTTATTTTCAGATTAAACTAAAAATAGAAGTTCTCAATATGTTGGTGCTAAATAGTTCAACACAACAGTGAGACTATGACTAAAAGCATCCTTCCAGGCAAGGAAAGCATATAAGAAAGCAATAAGAGGAGACAGGTTCTCTGCAAAGTGACACACTAGCCACCAGGGAGAGATTTCTCTCCTCAGAACACAAAACCCCACGCAGTGGTACTAAATTAAAGCAAAAGCCAGTCCCCCTGAACACTCCCGGCATCCCAATCCACCTTAATGACTTGTCCGTGTCCTATGCAGGTCTATATATTTGGGCACTCAGTACTCTCCAGCTACCACTTGTGCATTAGACTGGAAGGGAGCTGTAATTTGACAGGAAGCTCTACCTCTTCAAAGACATCAGCTTAACTATGTAACTTACTGAAAAGGACTCTCTGGGGCACCCTTAGCCACCACTCCAAGGAATTACCTCTTTATGTACGCATCAGCAACCTACTGACACAGTGCCATTACTGCAAGTTCCACCATGATCATCCTCCCCTCCCTCCCCTAAAGGTGGAGCTACTGAATAGAACAGGTACTTGAGCTTTGTTAGCAGCATTTACTGTTGGAATTTATATCATGAGAACTGCCAACCGGGAGCACTTCAGCACTCAAGACATGTGATGCGCTATTAGCATTGAGTACAGCCCCCTGAACCAATGAGAGATATTGCAACATTTTGCATTTTATTTCCAGCTTCAACCCAAAGGACTGACAATAAAAATATCTCACAGTTAAAAAATAATCTATTATTATTTGTGATAGTCTTTGAAATCTCTTGTATCCTATTAGGTTTCCAATTAGAGCTATCACTGCATGAAAGTAATACACTGCTAGACCTCCGTATAAAGAGAGTGCAACATCTTTGTAAGACATCAGTAGGCTTTAACAGTGATGTACTAAGCTTACCTTTTAAGCTTTACATACTTGAATTAACAGGGTGAAACAGCTATAGATGTTCAATTTTTATAAGAAATCAATGTTAATATGTAAAGGGAAGGCAAAGAGGAAGATGCAAGTCAGCTTCAGAGTGCAATATTGCTTGGATTTAATTTAGGATTAGGTAATATCAAGCAGCTCAAGAAGACCTAGTGCTTAATAGAAAAGTGACAATTCTGGACCACAGCGGCATTAACTTTTCATGGAAATACAAGAACTGTCAAAGGTTAAAGATTAAATTCTTTGTTTAAAAATCCCTGCAATTTCTGCTTCAAAAAGAAATTCACTGATGCGTAGATACAGGGTTCACAGGCACAGCTGCTGTTTTGCTTGTGTCTCACCACTGCTCAAATTAAGTGTCTAGATCTAATGCAGCATTTTGAACCTGTCCAATATATGACCACTGGGAAGACAATTTCAACCAATTAAATAGAAATTGTTTCCACTGCAAGACAAGAGTACAAGAACAGCAGCTTTCTGTACCGAGCTCAACAGCCAACAACTTCTTCACTTCCACAGAAAGTAATGAGATAAAAACCAGTAATGCAGAGCAAAAGATGACATTGAAAAACCTGGAAAAATCCCAACCCATCATTATCATACTGGGCAGCATGTGTTACACAACAGTGCAACTGAGAACTCTCTTCCCTTGAAAAACAGTGATATGCTTAGTGAAGATGTGCTGTACCCCCCGTAACAACTATTCCTGATCATTCCCAAGTTGCTGATGGGCTTCTCTGGACAGATGCTATGAGGATAACGCCCTTAGGAAACTACCCAGTGCGCACGTAGTTTTTGTTCAAGGACTATTTAACTTCCCAAGTCTACAAGCAGCAGTCTGAATCCTCCTGGTAAATGCAAGATTGAGAGAAAGCCTTGGCACAGGTCAGATGAAGCTCAAAGTTCTTCCTGGGCCAAGCCCTAACCAGCCTTTTGTCACTTTGGAAAACCCTTATCTTCCTCTGCCTCCCTTTGCTGACAGGCACTATGTTCTTTTCAACTTAAAAACCAAACAGGTAAGTTAGGAATGCCTGCAGCAAAGGCTGGGGAGCAGAATGATGCCCATGTAAATCTGCTGCATGTTCAGATGCCATGCAGTACTGAGCAACTGTAAACATAGAACTCTGTCTCAGAGATTAAGTGTTCAGGAAAAGACACACAGAGACACACTTTTTCATGTATTGAAAAGGCCAAATGACAGTCTGCAACAACAGCCAGCCTGTAGTTTTCCTGTATTAAGCCAGGCAGAAACAACCTACACCATAGGCCTGAATTACATGATACAACCCCGATACTTTGCGCACGCAAACTCAGCTCCCTCCCTCTGCCCAGGCATCCCTGGGCAAATCACTCAAATTATGCATATGTCACAGAGGGAAGGCAGGACTTTTGGTATTCACCACATATATTTAATGTACAAAAATCCCTTGGAACACACTGCTGGTACTTTCCAGGAGAATGACTCAGAAAGAGTCCACTGTCTGTCAACTTGCTAGTACGTTTGGAAACTACCTAGTCCTTTCTAGGAGTTGACCAAATGACAATATAACATAAGCTTTTCCTCTAGGGATGATACAGCCTGGTGAATACTTTAGTTCATCTTCTCCGAGATATAGAAAACACACAACAGCAGATCACTGTAGTGATATATGAATCAGAATCAGTTGATGCTACAGGTTAATATTGTGACATACCCACAGCAGCACATATTCCTTTTAACAGCTAATTTTGCAGAGTAGTTTAAAAATGCCAGAGATGTCTATCCGTCAGGGTGATGGGAAGAAGGGCAATTGCAAGGTATGCTGAAGTAAATAACAGTTAATGAAAAACTAAAATATGTTTCAGTTCAAACTGCAAGTAATGAAACCACAAACTCACACTCCAACTACTCCATATCCCCTAGAAGCTATTTTTGAGGCTATTTTGCCCTGAACAGGAAAAGTCTGATGCAAGTAGCTAAGCTATTTTGAAGTTGCACGCTTGTGGAAAATAAATACAATTTCCAAAAACACTGCAGACATGACCTTTTCCAAGGGACACAGCTCAAACCAGAAAGCAAACAACATACTAACAGCACATGGGAATTCCAAGGTGGCAGAGAATCTAATGATCTCCAGTGTAAAGCTGTGCCATTAAAAGCTGACAACACCACCAAATTTTTATTGTTTTATTTTGTAGCAAAGAACAGTGAAAGACCAAACACGGAATAGCACCTTGGTGATGTACACATCGCCATACTAGGCAGCTTTAGAAAATACTGAGTTGAATGTTAGAAGGTCTCTTTTTTTCCTTCTTTTATTTTTAACCATGCAAGCCCAAAATGCTTTAGAATTTTTGACTGGCAGGAAGGCAGCATATTGTTCTGGTGCACACCAATTTTCCCTCCTAATCCACCCCACTCCTGACCTCAGGGTAAATATGCTTTCTTTCCTGGTAGTCCATAAGTGGGTCCACGCTGAGTTTGCTTACCTGCATTTTTAGGCTGAATCTGGCACAGAGATTGCAAAGCAAACCCAGAAATCCTGGCTCACTGGGGGAGGCAGGTGTAGGGTCAGAGCAGCTCATCTAGCTTAGCCACTGAAAAACCACATACTT